GGCGACTGAGCATCGTCGCCCGGCCGGCGGTTTGCCTGAGGAATGTGCATACCAATTCGCCAGACCGGAGATTTTTTCTTTCTGTTCTCTGACGAAATATTACATCTTCTTCCACTGCATAATATTTTTTTTTCTTTGGGACTTTATAATCATTTTTTGATTTTTTTAAAAAAATGAAGTCCCTTTTTTTTTCCTTCATTTTTTAACCAAAAAAGGACAAAATGTTACATTTGATTAACTAGCCAGGTGTCATATTTTGATTTGACTAAATTTGTAATTTAGTCATTTAGGTGCATTTGGTTGGTGATACGAAAATAAGTTTCAATAATAATAATAAAAAAAAGAGTATAAAGAGTTCGTATTATATGTATTTCATATTGATTTTTATATTTAGTGTTACTGTCTAAAATATCATTGATTAATATAACGTATATGTTATAATTTCGTATTATTCTTATTTAATAATTTTATATAATTTATAATATATTATATTTTGAAAGTTTTAATTTTAATAAAAATGAAATAAATTTATAACATTAATAATATATTTATCAATTTTAATTATAACTTTTATCTTTTTTTTCTTAATATTTCAGTATTTTAAAGTTTCAAATTTAAAATATAAAAACATTAAAAATAATTTTTACCACATCATAAAAATATTTGAAAGAAACAAATATGTCAAATGGTTGATTCAAGTGGATAAATAGAATTCAAATTGGTTCTTAATATTTCTTCAATTTGGTCGAAGTTTCACTTTCATTTTTTATTGGATTTATTTTTTCAATTAAGTTTTTATAAAGACAATAATGATGATAGTTTTTTGATGTTATCATTTGTGTATTACATTTTTAATGAGTCAATTGTTTTATAAAAATAATTAATTTTCAGTTTTTAGTGCATCAATGTTAGAAGGGGGAAAATTTCAACATTTAATATGTTTGATAATGTTACTTTTATGTGTTAATTAAAGGTGTGTTTGATAATGTTCTCGTTCTTCCTTTCCAATTTTATTGAGAATTTTAACGTTTGTTAATTATTTATGTTCTTTCTTGTTTAATAGCAAGAGGGGACTTTACGTAAGTTTATACTAGAGGTGAGCATTGAGAGACGAAAAATCGAGCCGATCAATCAAAACCGACCGATCGAGGTCGGTCGGTCGATTTAACAAAAAGATCGATCGAAATCGGTTTGATTTTTCAAAAGAAAAAACCGACTCAAAGTCGGTTGGTTTGGTCGGATATATTATTTCCTACCGAACCGATCGATTTGTTATATATTAAAAAAAAGAAATTATAATATTAAATGCTGCTCAGGCTGCAGCCGCCCATTGGAAAACAAGCGGAACCCTATTTCTCATCTTTTATGTTTCCAAAATTATATAAAAATTTTGGGGAAAAAAAAGCATTTAAAAAAAAAATCAAGCTTCTTTATTTTTTCAATTAAGAAAAAGTAAAGAAGAAAAAATATTTAGCAAATGCAATTATCTTTTTCATCAAAGTTTTGAAAACTCTAGATCAAAATAACTCATAAGTGAAAATTTAGGGACAACAAATATCTTTTCCAAAAAATTTGACCCTATGAGCAAATGTATCATTTTTATAACAAATGTTTGAAGGGGCATGTTCAAACAAAATCTAGACTTTTTGTTAAAGGATTGGACGAAAAATTAATCAGTAAAGAGTAAAATAGTTTTTTTCTTTAAACTAAATTCAGCTTCTACATCAGCGCCATAACCAAGTATTAAATATTTATAAACATGTCGACAATTTTATCAACATTTCTACGTATCTATAGGTTCTACATCGAAATAAGATGTATATATGTATTCTTAAAATGACGTCCCGTGCATTGAACCCATAAATTTGCACGTAGTACTCTTTTGGGAAAATTACATTTTTTTTGGTATATTTAATTTCTGATTTAAAAATTAAATAATTTTGGTTCTTTTTAAGTTTGAATTAATTTCGATTCAATCGATTTGGATTTGTTTCTATTTGCTATTTCAATTTTCAAAAGTAACATTTTCTATTTTGTCACTAAATTTGAATTACCCTATGGTTGACTTAATGAAAGATAGGCGTAACAATTAATATGATCAAGTGATCTAATCTAACAGAGAATGAGATGTTCACTGGTAAGGTCGTCTACTTCTTTTGGGACGTTTTCGATCGAGTGAGTTGAAAATGAAGGTGGATCCAACGAGGTCAATAAAATCGACATCGACATATTAACTACCACATCAATAGATTTAGTTTAATTTGATCTATAAACCTATCAAAATCTTAGCCACAAACTATTTTTTTTCTAGATATATTTGTACTAGATTCAAACATCAATGATCTAAAATGTTGGTTTTGAAAATTTCAAGGAACAAATGGAAATCAGGTCCGAACCTCGAGATCAAAGTGTAATTTGCTCGACATTAATTTTTACATTATGAGAGACATAAATTACATCATTCTTTATGATACAATCTCATGAGAAATTAAAGATTTAATAAATTGCAAACATTACCTGTCTCACAATGTAAAAATATTTCCTCATAACTACGCAGGTCAAGTTCATTTCTAATTTAAATTAAATTTGAGTAATTCATTTGAATGGAATAACCAAATATGACAATTAACTGAAAAGTTGGATAAAAAAATATATCTTACTTGGCTCAACTGCTTAACATCATCTTATCTCAACCGTAATTGACACGTGTCTTTGATCAACAGGTCATGAGTTCAAATATCTCCAACAGGTCATGAGTTCAAATATCTTCACCCTATTTATTGTACTAAAAAAACAATTCAAGATAAATATATTAAATCTTTATTGATGTGTAGATGTTTTTATCAACATTTCTATATTTCCATTATATCATACAAAAAATTGACGAAATATAAAATAGTATGAATACTATGATTAATGTGGATATAATATTAACAATAAAAATTTTAAATTTGCCAAAAGCGAATATAGCTCAGGGTAATTGACAAGGTTGTGAATCCGATCCTCCACCACCACATGTTCTACTAAAAAAATTATAAATTTGTTTAAAAACTGTGAAATGCTTATATATTATTTTGAATACTTTTAAGGTTTTTTTATTTTTAGAGAATTTTCAAACAATATTAATTGACATTTGGATATTTTGTTCATATTTACGGCAACATTTTCATTAATATAATATCTAAAACCTCGATCAAAATAATCAATCCAAAAGTTTAAGTTGATAGGTTGAGTAATTCATTTACGAGTATCTCAACATAATCCTTGATCCTTATGGCTACCACGCATGCATTTCCATTTGTGTGAATATTAATTTCCTCATCATCCTTGGCTCTCATGGAATTTACTACACAATCCCACAATTATATTTCTAAACTACCTATAAATATCATTCAAAATGATTCATATATTTTGTACATTCAAGCTCTTGGGTTATTTCTAACCAATAAATTCACCTCTTTTAATTTGATCTTTCAACAAAATATTAATTTTCATTGATTTACCATGTCTCGTTGCTTAGATCAACGAATGATTCGAATTCTGAAGGAAAATGATGATCTTCGAAGAGACCCACCGTCAAACTGCAGCGGTGGGATCATCAGTGACAGTGACTACAATCAGTGGGAGGCAACCATCATCGGACCAGAAGGTACCCCTTACGAGAGAGGTTTATTCAAACTCTCCATATATTTGCCTCCCGAGTATCCAATGAAGCCACCAAAAGTTACCTTCAAAACTAAAATTTACCATCCTAACATCAATAGTAAAGGTAATATTTGCCTTGACATTCTCAAGGGAAATTGGAGTCCTGCCTTTACACTTTCAAGTGTGTTGGTTGCAATCTGCTCAATGATGCCTGATCCAAATCCAGATGATCCGCTTGAAATAGAGATTGCAAGGCTTTACAAGAACAATAGGCCTCAATTTGACAAGATTGCTCGTGAATGGACACAAAAATTTGCTCATTAAACTATAATCATAAAAAGGAATCCCGACATGTGATCATTTATCTCTACTTTGAAATGGATCGATGTATAACCAAAGTTCTTACGCTATCATTATTAGAAAATAAAGTGACTTTTCTTCCCATTTTTATATTGAAAATTAAGATGTTACATTTGATTATCTAGCCAAATTTTATATTTCTATATAACGTTTTTATTTTGCTAAATACCTAATTTTGCCGTTAATATTTTTTCAATTTGGTTGAAGTTTCACCTTCGTCCTTAATTGGATTTATTATTTTTTTTTCCAATTACATCTTTATAATCATTAAAGGTCAAAAGAATAATGATAATTTTTATGATGTTAACCACTTTTTAGTATATTAACCATTTTATGAGTTAATTTTTATTACAATAAGTAGTTTTTAGCAAGATTTTAAAAAGGAAAAAGAAAAAATATTTAACAAATGCAATTATATTTTTCTTTATTAAAAAAAATAACAAGAAATGAAATCTTATTAGACTTTTAAAAACCCGTAGATCAAAACAACTAGTAAGTGAAACAATTATTTCCATCCTTGTCCTTATTTTTCAAAAACCATTTTACCAAAAATTTGACCCATAATGTTTTATTTATTTATATCATGAGCAAATATCACGTTTTTATAAGAACAAATGTTTGAAGTGGCATGTTAAAACAAAAACTAGATTTTTTGTTAAAAGGATTGAACAAAAATTTAATTAGTAAAGAATAAAATATTTTTTTTATTCAAACTCAGAAACTTAAAATGCAGCTTCTAAATTTTCTTCAATACAATATATAGGATGAGAGATTCAACCTTACGACTTTTTAGTCAGAAATAAATACAATAACTAGTTGAACTATGATCTAATTGAAATAGAAAAATAACTAATGCAAATATTTTTCTTGAAAAAAATAATTAATCAAAGGTCGATTCACATAATCCTTGTTGCTATCGAATATTTTAAAATGACTTCTCGTTGGACCTACAAATTTGATCGTAGTACTCCTTTAGGAAAATTACATTTTTTTGGTCCCATTTACTAGCTATCAAATGTAAACTTAGCAAAACTTAATTGATTGAGGTATATATCCCGACCAAAAAATTGTGGGTTTGAATTCATATCTTTATTATACTAAACAAAGAAAGTTAAAGATGTTAACAAAATAATAATAATAATAATAACAACGAAAAAAGAAAAAGGGAAAAAAATGAAGAGATTCGATAAAAATTAAAAATATTTTTATTTATATAATAATATTTAATAAGAGAGAATACACCATTAATTCAAGAGAGAGAAAGTAAGATAAATTGTATCAATTTTACCTCTAAAAATACGGGTCCCACATAAAAATTAAAAATATTTTTATTTAAATAATGATAGAACTTCTTTACCCATGACACAGTTTAGGAGGGAGTAGTATGGGAGTTCTCTACGGAGGACTAGAAATTTTCCCCTTTCTACTTGATTCACGAGGTTTAAAAATCAAATAATTTTACCTCCTGAAGTTTGAATTAATTTCTATTTTAGATTTGGATTTGTTTCCACATTTGGTATTTCAAGTTTTAAAAGTGAAATTTTATATTTAGTGAGATTTTGATTTTATTTTTATTCAGTCTTTAAAATCCACATCGACATAAAAACTATCCCATCGATAAATCTAATTTAATTTGATCTATAAACGTATCAAAATCTTAGCAAAAATCAAATTTTTTTTAAAATATTTGTATTGGAATTGATGACCAAAAACACATAAGTCGCATAAATTACGTGTCTCACAACGTAAAAATCTTTCATAAATACGTATCTCAAGATCATTTCTAATTTAAATTCAATTTGAGTACTTCATTTGAATTGAATAATCAAATACGGTAATTAAATGAAAACTTGCATAAAAAAAATTTGTTCATATTTACATCAATATTTCCATTAATATCTACATCTAAAACCTGGATCATAATATTATTTACCATTTTTTTCTGTTTTTTAGTATAACAATAGATCGAAATGGGGAGATTCAAACTTATAATTTTTTAGACAGTGACATGTGCAACACTAAACTAAGCTCATATTGCAGGATATTATTTAACTTTTGAAAGGTCAAAATGTTTGAATCTTCCTACTTTACGTAGGGAAAAGAAACACCTATTTTACAAATATTTTTCAGGCATTGATTGCATAATTTTTTCTTTTTTGGAAAATAGATTTGCATAATCTTTTTTTTTTTTTTTTGGAAAATAGATTGCATAATCCTTAGTAGTTATGGCTACCACACATGCATTGCCTATTTGTGTGCATATTAATTTCCTTATAATCCTTAATTGGCTCTCATGGAATTTACTGCACCATCCACCATTATATTTCCAAGCTACCTATAAATATCATTCAAAATGGTTCATATATTTTGTACATTCAAGCTCTTTGGGTTTTCTAACCAATAAATTCACACTCTTCTAATTTTATCTTTCAACCAATTTCTATTTTTACTAATCTATCATGTCTTGCCATTTAGATAATCGAATGGCTCGAATTCTGAAGGAAAATAATGATCTTCGAAGAGATCCACCATCAAACTGTAGCGGTGGGATCATCAGTGACAGTGACTACAATCAGTGGGAGGCAACCATCATCGGACCAGAAGGTACCCCTTACGAGAGAGGTTTATTCAAACTCTCCATATATTTGCCTCCCGAGTATCCAATGAAGCCACCAAAAGTTAGCTTCAAAACTAAAATTTACCATCCTAACATCAATAGTAAAGGTAATATTTGCCTTGACATTCTCAAAGGAAATTGGAGTCCTGCCTTTACACTTTCAAGTGTGTTGGTTGCCAGATGATCCACTTGAAATAGAGATTGCAAGGCTTTACAAGAACAATAGGCTTCAATTTGACAAGATTGCTCGTGAATGGACACAAAAATTTGCTCACTAAACTATAATCATAATATTTTTTAGAAGGAATCCATGTATTAAATTTCTACCGACATGTGATCATTTATCTCTGCTTTGAAATGGATAAGTATTGATGATATGTATAACCAAAGTTGTTACGCTATCATTTTTAAAAAATAAAAAATAAATAAAGTCCCTTTTCTCCTATTTTTATATCAAAAATTAAGAGGTTACATTTGATTACCTAGCCAAATTTAAATATCTAATTTTGCTCTCAATATTTTTCAAATTGGTTGAAGTTTCACCTTGGTCCTTAATTGGATTTCTTTTCAATTAAATCTTTGTAATCATTAAAAGTTAAAAGAATGGTGATAATTAAATCTTCAATCACACTAGCTGCCATGCTTAAGTCAGCGATGAGAGAATTACTAAGTGAAGTACTTAGGGTTATTTGCTTACCTCTAGGGTTCAGCCAGTGGTCCCATTTATAGGATTCTTGCCTTCTGGAACCTTCTCGTTGAGTCATCTATACATCATCACTGGATCACAAGGATTCATGGATTGGGGCACCTCAACCAATGGGAGAGGAGATAAAGTGGGCTCGGCCCGCTGGTCGACGCCGAGCCGGGGTCGGGACTGAGCCCCGGCTCACTCGGTCTGTCGTTGGGTTTGGGCCTCTCTGGTCTGTAGAGGCTCATTTCCTTAGCCGGATCCAATCTCATAACAGTGGCCCCTACTCTCGAGATGAATGGTGAATGGCATGACAGTGTCAAGATCTCCATTTTGAGAGTTCTTGTTGGCTGGTTGTATCATCTAAGGTTTCCAACCCGTTGAGCTTTTACCAAAGGTGTGTTGGCGAATAGCAAATGTGCTTAATGCCTAGCTCCCTACAAAAGTCTCGAAAAGCCACATTGTTGAACTGTTTTCCATTATCACTGATAATGGTGTATGGTACTCCGAAGCGGCAAATTATATTTCTCCAGATAAAGTCAGTGACCTTTTTCTCGGTGATTGTAGCTAGGGCCTTCACTTCGGCCCATTTGGTGAAATAATTAACTCCCACTACTCCAAATTTGGTCCGGTCTTTTCCTTGTGGGAGGGGTCCTATGAGGTCTATTCCTCATTGGGCGAAAGGCCAAGGACTCATTATGCTTGTTAGTGGTTCAGGTGGTTGTCTAGGTATCGTTGCAAACCGCTGACATTTGTCGCATTTTTTAGTAAACTGCGCCGCATCGTTTAGCATGGTTGGCCAATAATATCCTTGTCGAACGATTTTATGGCTTAGAGATCGTGCTCCAGAATGGTTACCACAAATACCTTCATGTATTTCTCTCATGACGTAGTCAGCTTCTTCTGGTGCTAAACATTTTAGGAGTGGTAAAGAATAGCCTCTTTTATACAAGTTTCCATCTCTAAGAACATACCTAGCTTCCCGTCGTTGGAGTTGCTGGGCTTTTATCCTTTCATTAGGTAGAGTCTCATCTCTTAAATATCTAGTCAAAGGGCTCATCCCGTTCTCCTCGGATTGCTCTTATTCGTCGATATCCATTGCCTCCTGAAACTCTATGCTCGGCTCAGGCAAAATTTCTATTGGCACGATTCTTCCCAGGTCGGTTTCATAGGTTGCAGCTAGTCGGGCTAACGCATCTGTGTTGACATTTTGGACACGGGGTATTTGCCTGATCTCATATTTTGAGAATCGGCCGAGCTGGTTTCTTACCTGGGAAAGGTACCTTGCCATATGTGGCTCTTTGGTTTGAAACTCCTCTTTCACCTGACTTACTATTAACTACGAATCACTAAGTATCAGTATGTTCATGACCCCAATGTACGTGGCAGCCTTCAGTCCTGCTAACAGAGCTTCGTATTCAGCCTTGTTGTTGGATGCATGAAAACTAAACAGTAGTGCATATTCGAATCTCTTCTTATCTGGGCAAGCTAGTAGAAGTCTTGTCCCGCATCCTTTAAGATTTGAGGACCCGTCCACGTAAAGGGTCCAAGGTTGCTCTTCCTCACCTAGCTGTGGATTGATACTACATATTTGATGTTCTTTTGGTGTTAATTCCACTATGAAGTCTGCTACGGCTTACCCTTTCATCGCAGTCCTCG